AACTTCTATAAATAGCAAGATAAGGTCTATAGCTTTGTTTTTTGTTCCCGTACGAGAAGAACCAAAACCTTTGTCTACAACAACTGGTATTACAGAAGATCTTATCCTGAAGAAAATAGTTTACATAGTTTATGTAAACGTAATAATAAATTAAAGGGAGGGAGGAGAAATAAATACAAACTTATTCCTCTTACCTTATGGGATTTGGCGCTTTCTCAACAAATGTCAATAAAGTTGTCAAGCCTGCTTCTTGTGCAACAGCATTAGCGTCTGTTGCTATATTTTTCATTAAACCCTCAAAAGGCTTAAAATCGCTTTCATCATCAGCAATGTTAAATTTTTTCGTTAATTCCTCATAAGCTCCAAGTCGAACTTTCCAAATCTATATTACTTAAAGTGAGTTTTATTGCATATCGTATAAAAATATATTCGTAAACAAACATGAAACAAAAGATCACCTTGTGAGTGACTCTTTCTGTGAGTGGTAAGGAAGAGTAGTCTTCTTCAGGTGCTGCCATTGGAATATATATTTGTTTAATTCAACGCGATTTATTATATTTATTTAACTGAGCGCGGTTTGTATTTGTTTTGATGTTTTAAGATTGAAAAGCTATACTATAATAAGAAAAAACACGAGAGCCGGTATTATTATTAATATGGCGTTAAATAAAATTTTTTGTTGAATTTACTTTATTTAGCCAATAAAATTTGGTCAGTAATGAAGATCATTGCTAATTTGGTACCTTTTATTATTTTTGTTATGATTATTTTTGACAACCAACCAACCACAAATTAAGTCGAACAGAATAAATAAATACAAATCTGGGAATAATAAATAATACCGTGTAAATAAATAGATAAGATAATGTCAATAAGTGAGATTAATCCAAATTGACAACTTGGAATCTTTATTTTCCAGATTCAAAAAGGGGATATGGTGCCATTTTAATAAAGGCCTACATACATTCGTTCAATAAAGTCTAAATTTTGAATTATATTTGATTTTTTTCTATTTCGATTTCGATTTCGATTTCGATTTTAATCCTTTAAATTGTGATTCTATCCAAACACAAACACAAAATCCAAACCTCTCTTCCGCAAATAAATTCAAAGAGTGATTTAATGACATGCAAATTAAATAATCACAACTTTATGTTTAAAGCCATGGATACAAAATAAAATGCGATTTTTTTATAACATTAAATAATGGAGAAATTTTACTTAATCAGTCTTCAATAATGGTAGTCTTGGAGTCGGTATTTTGACCAGTTTTAGAACTGAAACCGAATTATATCCTCATTGTGATACGGTGCAGATCATCTATCTCTTAAACGGTCAAAGTATTCTTTAATGGGTACACAAAATAATTTTTTGATCACGACCTTGCATTTTTATTGGCAATTTAACGATCTGCAAAGTAAAATAATAAATCGACCAACTTTTAAGGAAGATTTTACGAAAACCACAAGGACAACAACCGAATTTTTATTCATAGATCAATCAGCTGAATCTAAAAGATCACTTTCTTATTAGGAAGTAATACCTTCAGAAAAATTTTTTTATAACAGAAAAACCGTTTAAGGATAATCAATTAATTGCTTATAGTACTAAAACAAAAAATTTTTATATAATTTTAAAAAGTTAACCGATAAGTTTTATTGTTCATTGCTCATGCTTCAAAACTTATCAGCTAGTTTTTTCTTAAACTAAAAATTGGTAGAGCCTTAGCATTTTGAAAATTCCAAATTTTGTTATATGTTTAAGAAATTGAGACTAAGTAAATTTCGTCTAACAAAATTTTTTTTCATAGAATATTTTTTAATAGTAATAAAAGTTCTTTACAATAAAAAAGTTCAATAACGTCCTTAATATAATAAGCATAGTGGACATTCGTTTTATCACTTTTGACAAAATCGATCGTCGATCTTTTTTATATTTTGAAACTTGCTATTTCAATTAAATTTATAATAG